ATCCATCTAACATCAGCTACAATATCCCTGGTACCACGACCCCTTCTAAGCCCAGCCTGGACTTCTGGCAGTTCTCTGCTGATGTGCTGTTCCAGTCGTTTTTGGATAATCTTCAGTAAAATCTTGCTTGCATGTAAAATCAATGAGATTGTTCTGCAGTTTCCACACTCAGATGGGTCGCCCTTCTTTGGAATGGGAACAAATATAGATCTTTTCCAGTCAGTTGGCCAAGGGGTTGTTCTCCAGATTTCTTGGCACAACTTGTTGAGCACATCTGAAAACCTGAAAACCCTTGTTGTGGTGCTCAGGTATTTTATAAATTCTAGATATAAGTCCCTTATCTGTCATGTTATTAACAAATACTTTTCCCCAGTCTGTGGCTTCCCCTTTTACCCTGTTAGAGAAGTTTTGGGCTATGCATAGGTATTTGATTCTTCATCTATTTTATCTTCTCCTGGTTATAGATTTTTCAGGATACTTGGAAGACTGTTTGTGTTGTGGATTAGGACTACTAGAGTTCTTCCAAGCTTTCCTTTAATGAAGTTTATATTCCTTCGTTTTAGTCTTAGATCCATGATCCACCTTGAGTTCGTTTTTGTATATGGAGTGAGGTCTTGATCTTGCTTGAATCTTCTGTAGATATTTTTCCAATTTGGCCAACACCATTTGTTAAAAAGGCTGTCGTTTCCCCACTTAACTGATTTCATCTCCTTGTAAAAAATCAGTTGACCATACATAGATGGGCTGATTTCCATATTCTCAATTCAATTATGTTGATCTATGTGTCTGTCATTGTACCAGTACCATGCTTAACCACCACGGCAGTGTAGTAGGATTTGGAATCACGGAGTGAGATGCCTCCTACCTTTTTTTCTATTTTTAAGGAGTGCTTTGCTTATTCCGGGCTTCTTTCCATTCCATGTGAAACTGGAGATTACCTTTTCCATCTCCTTGAAGAATGAGATTGGTATTTTTATTGGGCTTGTGTTGAACGTGTAAATTGCCTTTGGTAATATTGCCATTTTCACAGTATTGGGTCTTCCTATCCATGAGCAAGGAATATTCTTCCACTTCTCCATGTCTTTTTTTTTGTTTCTTGTAGTAACGTTTTGTAATTTTCTTTGAATAGATCCTTTGTGTTTCTGATTAGATTTACTCCCAAGTGTTTAATCTTGTGATCGCTATTGTGGAGGATATTGTTTTACTTAGTTCAGGCTCTGTATTCTCTTTGTCATTGTAGAGAAATCCAACTGATTTTTGTATGTTGATCTTATATCCTGCCACTTTGCTGAATTGGTCAACTATGTACAATAGTTTTCTTGCTGAGTCTTTAGGGTTTTCTAGGTATACTATCATATCACTACTCCTGCTTTTTTCTGGTTGCTGTTTGCTTGGTATATTTTCCCCCACCCTTTCATTTTTAGTCTGTCTTTATCTTCATTTTTCAGGTGTTTCTCTCATAGACAATATATTGATGGATATTGGTATTTTATCCAGTCTGCTACTCTTTTTTCTTCAGCGGTGCATTTAAACCATTTACATTCAGTGTGATTATTGAAAGGCAAGGTTTTATTGCTATCATTATGTTGAGTTCTTTTTGGTTTTGTTTCTAGTTACTTTGGTGCATGATGCTTTCTGTGAAATCTCTGTAAGAAGGACATCTCTGAGTCTTTCTTGCGATGTTGATCTTGTTTTTACAAACTCTCTTAGGTTCTTCGTCTTTGGAAATATCTTTATCTCTCCTTCATATTTGAAGCATACTTTTGCTGGGTGCAGTATACTTGGTTGACAGTTGTGTTCTTTGAGTGTTTGATATATGTCCTTCGACTCTCTTCTTGCTTGTATAGTTTCTTTTGAGAAATCGGCACTTAATCTTATCTGTTGTTCCTTATAGGTTACTCTTTGTTTCTCCCTTGCTGCTTTCAGGATTCTCTCCTTATCTTTGGCCCTGGCAAATTTAACTATGTTATGCCTTGATGTTTTTCTTTTGGGGTCTAGTCTATATGGTGTTCGCTGAGCTTCTTGTATATATATTTTGTCATTCTTCATTATGCCTGGGAAGTTTTCTTCTAGTAATTCTTCCACAAATTTTCAGTGCCTTTACTTGCTTCTTCCTGTTCTGGGATTCCAATGATATTCATGTTATTTCTCTTGATGGTGTCCCACATTATTCTTAGGTTTTCTTCTTTTCCCAATCTGCTTTTTACTCTAGCATATCAGTGGTGACAATTTTGTCTTCTATTTCACTGGTTCTGTGTTCCATCTCATCAACTCTGCTTATGTGTCCCTCCATCATGGTGACAGCATCTGAAACATTGGACCTCATATTTTGGATAGTGGTTTCTTGTTTTTCCAGTGCTGCTAATGCCTCGTTTGTTTTCTCTACATTGTTCTGGACTGGTTTTTTGTGTCCCTCCTGGTTTTTGCTTGTAGTATCCTGTAATTCAAGTTTGTCTTTCATCCATTGAAAATATTCAATCATTGTTCTTTTAAATTCTGTGTCAGAAAGTTCCATCAGACTTCCTGGATTCCAGAAATCCATTGATACTGTGTCACCTTTTGGGGGTGACATCTTGCTTTGTGCCTGTGTCTTGTGTGGGACAGCTTGCTTTCTTTGAGACATTGATATGTTCTTGATCTGAAGATAATGCTCTAGAGATCAGTTTGGTAGCTATCCCACTTGTGTTTTTCTCTGAACTTTTGACTCCAGGGAGATGTTAGTTCAGAGACTGTGAGAGCAGCCTCTTGTAGGTAAGACAGGTCAAGGTGCTCCGGATTAAAGGCAGTGTGGAGCCAAATGGGTGGGGCATGCACCATAGGTGGGGCTATCACAAGGGCAGGTTAACCACTTGGGGGACCTCACTCAGCCTCAGTTGTCTGGGTGTGCTTACAATTGGGGTCCCTATTCAAATTCCAGCTGTCCATCTCCCACCCAGTTTTTTTTTCCATTCACTGGTGCTCACACAGATGCCCTTGCACAGTGGCCCCTGCCCAGGCAGGATCCTGGCTGGGTCCAATGGGACTCAACAAGACAAAGTCAAATTCCCACCAACCCACTCACCTCTGGCTGGTCTGCAGTGTCCACAAAAGTTCAGCCAAATTACCACTGGCCCGCTTGTTCCTGGGCAGTTGGCATGGCCCGAGAGAGCTCAGCCAAATTCCCACCAGTGGGCTTACCCTTGGGTACTCTCCCAGACAATCGGTGGTGCCCAAGAAAACCCAATTAGGATCCTACCAGCCTTTCTCGTGGCAGATCAGTCCCACAGCAGCTTGATTGGTGGCTTTAGATGATGGCTGGATCAGCGTTGTGCCTTTGTGTGCTGACTCGGAATCGTACTGTCCACAGCTGTTGGTAGGTCTCTGTCCTGCTTGAAGGAGTCTTTAGTGGCCCTGGAGTACCTCCGGGGGGTGCAGTGTTGTGGTGAGACCACCAGGGTGTGCCAGAAGTGTGGGGGCGTGGTATGGTGGTTGGGTGGTATCCCTGGACACGGTGCTCTGGCGGGATTGGGGTGCAGGGCTTGGGCAGTGCTGGGAGTTAGGGGTTGCAGTCTGTTCCCAGATATTAAGCTTGACCTATTCTTTCTTGAGAGTGATCTGTTAAAGTCTCCCACCACTATTGCAGTACTATTTTTAAAATTCTGTTAACACTTGTTTTATGTATTTAGCAGATCTATAAACCGGGTGGCTCCTTGGAGGCAAGGATTCTGAGGCTCCGTCTAACTTACTTTGGACATGTTGTGAGGCCTTAGAGAGGGCCATCATGCTTGGGAGGGTGGAGGGACGGCGCAGGAGAGGAAGGTCCTCTATGAGGTGGATTGATTCAGTGACTGGGATAATTGGGATGGGAGTGTCAGAGATAGTGCAATTGGCACAGGACAGAGCGGAGTTTAGGGCTGTTGTACATAGGGTCGCTATGAGTCGCAGGTGACTCGACGGCACATAACAACAACAGCAACAACAACATAATTTGGTGCATAAATGTTGATCAATGTTTCGTCTTCTTGATTTTTTGTGCCCTTAATTATTATGTAGTGCCCTTCCTTATCTTTTATGGTGATTTCCATCTGAAGTCTATTTTATCAGCGATTAGTATTGCCACTTCTGCTTTCTTGTGGATGTCATTTGCTTGGTATATTTTTATCGAGCCTTTAATTTTGAACCTATCTTTCTCTTCATTTCCTAGATGTGTCTATTGATGGGTGTTCCCCCGCCCATCTGCTACTCTTTTGTTCTTGAATTTTAGTTCATTCACATGAAGTGTGATTATTGACAGACCAGGTTTTATCATTGCCATTTTACTATGTTTCTTGTTTTGTATGGTCTGTTTACTTTCCTTTCGTGTCACTGTATAAAGGACTTCCCTTAAAAGTTTTTGTAGATTTGGTCTTGTTTTCACAAATTTGTAAATTTTCTCTTTTCTGCAAAGGATGTGATTTCTCCTTCAAATTTGATGGAGGTCTTTGTTGTGTGCAGGAACTTCAGTTGACAATTGTTTTCTTTCAACTTCCTGTACATGCCATCCCATCATCTTATTTGTATGGTTTCGGCTGGAAAATTAGAACTTAATCTAATTGCTTTTTTCTTTGTTGTTGTTGTTATGTGTCATCTAGCCGCTTGCAACTCATAGTGACTCTATGTATCTAAACCTTGCTCTTTCCTGTGCTAACCTCACTGTCTCTGGCACACATACTCCCATTGCCCCAATAACTGAATCGATCCATCTTGTTGAGGGTCTTCTCTCTTGCACTGTCCTTCTCATATACTTTCAGTCTTCTGTCTTTTCTTTTGTTCTGGAGAATTTGACTGTGGTATATTGTGATGTTTTTCTTTTTGGGTATAGTCTATTTGGTATTCGCTGAGCTTCTTCCTGACTGTGGATATCCTCATTCTTCGTAATGCTTTGGTAGTTTTTTCTAGTATCTCTTCCACAATTTTCTCAGTGATTTCCCTATTCCTCTCAAATTCTCAAATTCCAATCATATGGATGTTATTCCTTTTGATGTCATCCTACATGATTTTAACGTTTTCTTTATGACTTATCTCTAATTCTTTTTCTTGTATATTTCTGTTGTGTTTCTTATCTTGCAGCTCACTGACTCTCTGCTCCATCTCTTCTGTTCTACTTTTTTGTCCTTCAAGTAAATTGGTCACTCCTGATAATTCAGTCTTAATATTCTGGATTGCATTTTCTTGCCTTTCAGTTATTTCTAGTACTGTATTCGCTGTCCTTTCTATATCTTGTGATTATTTTTAAAGTTCTTTTACCTCTTTATCTATAATTTCAATTATTTCTTCCATTCTTTTGCATTTTCTTCTGTAGTTGTGTAAGTTCTTCCTCGCAAGTATATTTATTCTAACTCTGTGTCTCTGAAGCATTTATTTTCTTAGAGTTTTCCATTGTTTCTTCAATTTTCACCTTCTTCCATCACTGTTCAAATAACTTTTCATCAGTATATTTCCTCTGGTTCTCTAACTCTAGGTTATTCTATATGTTTGTGGCTTCTGTTATTTCTCCCATCATTTGTACTTTATTCTGAATTGGTTCGAATGTCTCCATATCAACCTATATCCTCTGCCTTCTTGACTCTGGGGTATTCATGAGGTCTCTGATAATTTCTGCTTTTTTTGGAGAAGGTTTAATTTGTTTATTCACCGTGTTTGGAGCTGTTTTCTGCTTTCTTGACATTATTTGAAGGCTTAAAAAAACAAAACTGTATACAAATTTAATTACAAAGTTCAAATATATTGTTTTTCATACCAGATTCTTCTAATTTCCCTCATAGTCCCACCCATCAAATTGTGTGACCTCATGATTAATTTCCCCCTCACGTCCTCATACCTCTGCTTCCACCCATCCCCCATATCTTCATACTTATTCTATAATAATGGTTTTTTATATTATTTGTCTTTATGGGACTGAGTTCATTCAGCATAATGCTGAATTAGGTAATGTTATTGATTGTCTTTTAGTTGAGCATGACTCAAAGCAACCCTATGAACAAAAGGCCTGAAGCCTTTCTATAACTATTGACATTTATCAAATTTCATAAAGTTTCTGGAGGTATGTTGTTTAGGAAGTGGATAATTTACTAATTTATTGCTCCTGTTTGCTGCCTAGTATTCCATTGTGTGAATGTACCATAATTTCTCAGTCATTTCAGTTGTAGTTGGACATCTGAGCTGTTTCTGTATTCTTCTGATGGTGGAAACACTGCTATGAACATTGATGTACAAGTCTTTGTGCCTCAGTTCTCATTTTCTCGGGGTATATTCTAAGCAGTGTAACAGCTGAGTCATATGGAATGTCTATGTCCAGCCTTTCGAGGAAGAGCCAAACTTCCTTCCAGAGTTGTTGTACCAGTACAGTCCCACCAACAATGTATAAGAATTCCTATATCATCATATCCTAGACAGCATTTATTACTTGCTGTCCTGTTCAACTTTGCCACTCTTATTGAAGTGAGATGATATCTCATTGTGGTTTTTATTGGCATCTCTCTTATTACCAGTGGTTTTGAGTATTTCTTCATATGCCTATTGGCCATTCAAATATCTTCCTCTACAAAAAAATCTTTCCATGTCTTTTGCCCATCTTATAATTGGGTTTTCAGGCTTTTTCTTGTGGAGGCCCAGGAGTTTTTTGTCAACTTTTGTTATGAGACTCTTTTCTGAGATGGTTTTACCAATTTTTTCCCCCCAGGTTGGTAGGTTTTCTTTTCACCCTGTTGAAAAAAATCTGGATGTGCGCAGAGATTTAATCTTTAGAAGGTCTCATTCATCAATTTTATCCTCTTCAGATTGTGCATTTCTGGCTGTATTTGGCAGTCTCTTTATACTGTAGACTAGGCCTTCTAACGTTGATTCCAATTTATCTCTTACAAACTTTATGGTTTGGGGCTTTACTCTCAGGTCTCTGATCCATCATGATTTGTTTTTTGTGCGTGGTGTGAGATGTGGATGCTGTTTCAGCTTTCTGCAGGTGGCAGTCTAGTTTTGCCAGCATCCTTTGTTGAACAGGTTGCCATTTCTACATTTGGTAGATTTTATTTTGTGTTTTCAGTTTTGTTCCATTGGTCTATATGCCTGTCATTGTACCAGTACCATGCTGTTTTGGTTACTACCAATGTATTTTTTTAAATGGAAGATAAATGTTTATTTCTGAATGGAGAAAAACATATACAAGGAATTCTAGTCTCTTTCTCTTCATGCACTTCTTTTGTAATAGAGTTCCAGATACCAACTTCAATATTTACCAGCATTTTTCTTAACACTGATAATTTACTAGCTGGTGGACATTTTGTCATAGAAATCACTAACTGTAAACTAAATATGTATTCTCATAGTTTGTAAACAGCTTACAGCAATTATGTATTAACAGGGAAGATACATTCTACTGTAAAAGAGGGGAAAAATGATACTTTCAGTGTTTAGTTACTTGATTTAAATGAAAATGAAAAAACAAAACAAAAATCAAGACAGGCTGGGCTTCGTACTACTTTCACGTCATCTCCAATTAGCTGGTACACGTAAGTGACAACAATAGAAGCCTGGGTATCCATCAGCACAAATGAAGGAATAATATTTGTTTCCAAGGCATTATATGCTCCAGTGGCAGAACCTGGGTTAGTGTAGAATTTATTTTCGTGCTCAAATGCTTCAAATTTGTGCATGTGCCCCGAGATAAGAATGTTCACATCAATCTGCCTCTGCAACTGGGCTAAGCTGGCCATATCTCCCCAGGGGATAACTTGATGGCCATGGATCAAACCAATTTTGAACTGTCCCACAGTCACAACCTTCTGTTCTGGATTATTTAGATTCTCATCAAAGTCTCCTCTCACAATGTGAACATCGCCAGCTAGAGTTTTGAGATAGTCACAGCTTTCTTTGGTGCAAAGATTTCCAGTGCAAAGGATGTGCTGAATCTTTCCGGGCACCAGGAGCTTTTTTAATTTAGCTGGCAGCCTGTTGCAGCGGTGTGGGATGTGCAGATGTCCTAACACCAACACCAATCTGTTCCCAGCCCTCCTGTCACTGGACTTCAGTCAGTCACTGCCGCTGCCGCCACCCTCTTCCTTAGTCTCTGCAGCCTACCAATGTGTTTTGAGGTTCTGGAGTGCTATGTCTCCCACTTCATTTTTGTTTCTCAGAAATGTTTTACTTATTCAGGGTCTCTTTCCTCTCCAAATAAACTTGACAATTTCTCTTTTGATCTTGAAAAATGAATTTGGTATCTGTATTGGGATTGCATTGAACATGTATATTATTTTTGGTAGGATTGTCATTTCACAATATTGAGCCTTTCTATCCATGAAGAGGGTACATTTCCCCCCTTTTCTTTAGGTCTTTTATTGTGTCTTGCAGAAATGTTGTAGTTTTCTCTGTATATGTGTTTGTATCTCTAATCAGGCTCACTCCAAAGTAGCTCAATTTGTGGTTAGCTTTTACAAGTGGTATTGCTTTCTTGATTTCCTTCTCTCAGATCTCTCAGGAATCCCATTGATTTTTGGATATTAATCTTATATCCTGCCACTCTGCTAAGGTTTTCTGTGTATACTTTCATATCATCTGCATATACAGATGGTTTAACCATCTTTTTGCTAACCTGGATGCCATTTATTTCCTTTCTTGTCATTCTGCTCCAGCAAGAACTTACAATACAATATTGAATAGAAGTGGTGACAGTTGGTATCCTTGTCTTGTCCCTTTTTGCAAGGAAAAAGCTTTAAATGTTTCTCCATTCAGAATACTGTTGGCTGTTGGTATTGTACATGTACTTTTTACCATGTTGAGGAATTCCTGTCTATTCTGATTTTGCAGAGTGTCTTTATCATGAAAGGGTTTTGGATTTTGGTTTTGGTTTTGCATTTTGGTTTTGGATTTTCTTCACCAATTGCTAAGATTGTACGGTTCTTATTATTTACTTTGTTAATATGGTGAATTACTTTGATTTTTTTTCATCCTAGCATACCTGTTATGAATCCCACTTGGTCATGGTAAATTATTTTTTTTATCTACTTTTGGATTAAATTGGCTAGGATGTTAGGTTGTTGTAACTATATAATGTCCCATCTTATGACAGTGTTATGTGAAGTACCTGTTTCCCCCTCTTGTTTTCCTAATAAAGGTTGACCATTGCCCACAGAAACCATGGCTCTACCTCATCCCTTCTGCTTGATTTTAAGAAATCTAACATGATGTAGCAAGGCAGCAGTGTTCAAGGCTAAAATATCTCTCTTCTCTACTTTATAAGATGGTTTAGTAGCAGGTCCTTCAGTTCATTCAGTACTAGTTGCAGAGGATGTCCTGATAGGATTTGAGTTATTGGTGATTGCCCTTATTTTTTTTTTTTTTGCCAAAGGACACTAACTTGTATAGGAAAAGAGACAAATATAGCCATGGAAGGTGGGGTTCAGCAGTAGGGGTTCCCCAATGTGGGCAGTCCAAGGGCAGGAGTGGGCTGAAGTTTCTTCAGGGTTCTGCCCAGTCCCAGGAGCTGGTGTGAGGGGATGGAGAGTGTGTGTGTAGGTAAATATCACTCCCTCACCTGAGAATGGAAAGACACTAATATCAGTTCACTATTTTAAATTTTTAAAAAAACATTATTTCATACTGGTTTACTTACAAAGTTCATATACATTGGTTGGTTTTTTTTTCACACCAGATGTTTCTCCTTTCCTTTACCCACAGATCCCTCCACCCATCAAATTGTGTGACCTTTTGATTAAGTATCCCTTCTCCCCTCCTTGGATCTGGGTACTCGTTCTACAATAATTGTCTTATACAGTATTTGTGTTTATGAGACTGAGTTAGTTCACTTAGCATAATGCTCACCAGTCCCTCTCATGTTAGGTAGTAATTTAGAAAATCATTGCTCCTGTGTATTGCATAGTATTCCATTGAGTTAACTTTTTTTTAAAAAATTCATTGTTGCACAATTTCCTCCCTCCCTCTCCCCTAGTCCACTTTGAAATGCACATCTTATGACTATTGTCATACAAATCATGCCTAATCATGTTATTATTGTTAGAGGTTGTTGACTCAAGTGTGACTTATAGTGATCTATGCACAAAAGATTTGAACTGTATTCTATCCTGTGCCATCCTCACGCTTCCTGAAACACAAGACCCATTGTGGCAGTCATCGTGTCAGTCCACCTGGTTAATGGTCTTCCTCTCCTTCGCTGACCCTCCACCTTTCTTAGCATCGTGTCCCCCTCCAATGAATAGCCCCTTCTAGCAACATGCCAAAAATATGTGAGGAAAAGCCTCATAGAACATTCTAGTTGCACCCTCTCCAAGACACATCTGTTTGTTTTTTTGGCAGTCTATGGATTGTTAAGTGATCAATTCTTCTTCTGTCATCCTAATTCATTGTCTTGCTCTCAAATGTATAGCAAGTGATCAGAAAGACTATTGTCTGAATCAGCCACACCTTAGTCCTCAAACTGACATCAATACTCTTCAATAATTTGGATAGGCCCCTAACTGCAGATTTTCCTAGTGCAATGTGTTTCCTTATTTCCCAACTGCTAGTACCAAGGGTGTTATTTATGGGTCCAAGCAAGATGAAGCTATTGACAATTTCAATCTTTTCTCCATTGATTATGATGGATCTAGTGGTAAGAATCTTTGTTTTGTTGACTTTGAGATGCAATCCATACTGAAGGTTGCATTTCTTGAGCCTCTGCAACAAGTGTTTCAAGTTCTCCTCACTTTCAGCAAGGAAGGTTGTCTCATCTATATAACACAGGTTATTGATGAGTCTCCCTTCCATCCCAATGCTGCATTCCTCTTCATAGAGTCCAGCTTCTCAGATAATTTGCACAGCATAAAGATTAAATAGGTATGGAGAGAGAATACAATTCTGACACACTCCTTCACAATTTTAAACCATTCAGTGTTCCCCTGCTCTGTTCACACAATAGCTTCATGGTCCAGGTATAGGTTTCACATGAGCACAATTAATTGCTCTGGGACTCTCATTCTTAATGTCAGCCACAACTTGTTATTATCCACACAGTCACATGCCTTTGCATAGTCAATAAAACACAAATGGACATATTTTTGGTTTTCTTTCCTTTCAGCCAGGATCTGTCTGACATAAAAAGTGATATCACTGGTGCTACAGACTCTTCTAAATCCTGCTTGAAGTTCTGACAGTTCCTTCTCTATGTACTGTTCTAGCTATTTTTAAATGATCTTCAGCGTTATCTGGTTTGTATGTGATATTAATGATATTGTTCAATTGTTTCCACATTCTGTTAGGTCACCTTTCTTGGGAAGTGGAACAAACATGGGCCTCTTCCAATCCATTGGTCAAACAGCTGTCCTCCAAATTACCTGGCATAGACTTGTAGCATATCCATGGCTGCATCTGTTAATTGAAACAAGTAAATAATATCTCATTAATTCCTGGGAAATTATTTTTTGCCAATTCCTTCAGTGCAGCTTTCACTTCCTCCTTCATTACCATTGACTCTTACTCATATGGTACTTCCTGAAAATTTTTAGTGTCAGTCAGTGATTCTGTGTATTCCCTCCATCTTCTTTTGATCCTTTCTGAGTCATTCATTATCTTGCCAATAGCATCTTTCAGTATTGCAACATGAGGCTTAAATTTGTTTTTCAGTTCTCACAGCTTGAAAAATGCAGAGCAAGTTCTTCCCTTTTTATTCTCCTGTTTCAGTTCTCTGCACTTCCCATTATAATACTTTGCTTTGTCTGCTTGAGCTGACCTTTGACATTTTCTGTTCAGCTCTTTTAGTTTGGCATATTTTCCTTTTGTTCTGGCTTCTCAACACTCCAGTGCAATTTTTTTTTA